AGGGAGGGAGGGAGGGAGGGAGGGAGGAAGGAAGGGAGGAAGGAAGGAAGGAAGGATGGTTTGTATTTTTCAGTGTCTCCTCCAAGGTGTACTGACTCCCGGCTCCCAGCCAGTGCAAAGCTGGTCTTAAAGCACTCAGATGTAGAAGCAGGGGCCTGCTATAATCCTTAATTCTGTGTTTTCCAGTTTGTAGAAGACTATGAGCCCACCAAAGCCGACAGTTACAGAAAGAAGGTGGTCCTCGACGGAGAAGAGGTCCAGATAGACATTCTGGACACAGCTGGCCAGGAGGACTATGCGGCCATCCGAGACAATTACTTCCGCAGCGGGGAGGGCTTCCTGCTTGTGTTCTCCATCACAGAGCACGAGTCCTTCACTGCCACAGCCGAGTTCAGGTGTGTTTGACGGGGACAACTGGTCCTTGACTCCCTGCCAGGGGGGCCGAGGCTTCGAGGGATCTGGGGTGGAGCAGAACGGAGATGGCTGGGCCCGTGATGAGGAAGAACTCAGCCACAGGGTTTTCTGAATCTTGGTACACTTTGATCCACCATTGCGTCCATCTCTTTGTGCATCCATGTTTTAGGATTTCTGGACATATCTTTTTTGAAGGATTTATTCATTTATTTATTTTGGTTTTTTTGAGACAGGGCCTCTGTGTAGACCTGGCAGGCCTTGAACTCAGAGATCTGCTTGCTCCTGCCTCCAGAGTGCTAGGATTAAAGGTGTGTGCCACCACACCTGGCTTACTTTTATTTTTATTTATTTTATGTGTATGAGTGTTTTGCTGCATGTATATCTATCTGTGTACCACATCCATGCCTGATGTCTGTGGAAGCCAGAAGAGGGCATTGGATCCCCTGGGACTGGAGTTACAGAAGGTTGTGAGCTACCATGTGGGTGCTGGGAATTGAACCTGGGTCCTCTAAAGGGGCAGTCAGTGCTCTTGACTACTGAGCCATCTCTCCAACCATTGTGTGAGTGTGTAAGAGTACAGGGGAGCACAGATGTGTGTGTTTGTGCTACAGGGAGTGTGTGGAGGTCAGGAGAAGACTGAAGTGAGTTCTCGCTTACCATGTGGGTGGGTTCCAGGGATCGAACTCGGGCAGTCAGGCTCGGTGCCCAGCCCCCTTCTGTCTGAGTCATTGCCAAAGTTCCCAGACCAGGCTTCAACAAGTTCTTTCTTGTTACAAAATCAGATGGCCCATCAGATGGCCCACCAAAGGTAAAGAGAGTCAGCTGAACGTTTCCCATGAGTTTGAGGGTGGCCTCGGGGAGCCGGGGAGGCGTCAGGGGCTGAGCTCAGCCAGTCTGGTAGAGCCAGCAGATGATAAGGTGGACCTCTAGTGCTTGTGGTCTCAGATCTCCAGAGAGCTGAAGGTCTGGTTTTCTGCAACTGTAGTGTGTAGTGGAGGAGACCGATGGACAGAGAGGTCTCAGCGTGAACAGGTGCCTCTGTGATCACAACTGTGTCCTCTTCACAATCTGATTTTGAGGCCATTGAAGATGAGACAGAGTACACGTGCACACTGCCTTTTTACTCTCCAATTCCTATATTGGAATTATTAAGCGTTTTTGTGAGCTATTGCTTTGAGTTTGATGAGGTTTTTGTTTCATTTATTTTATGTGCATGGGTGTTTTGCCTGCACGTATGTCTGTGCAGCATGTACATGCAGAGCCTGCAGAATCCAGAAGAGGACATCAGAACCCTGGAACTGGAGTTACAAACAGTTGTGAGCTGCCATGTGGGTGCTGGGAATCAAACCAGGTTGCTCTTAACCACTGAACCATCTCTCAGACCCTGGGTTTTTTGTTTTGTTTTCTTTTGCCCTTTTTTTTTTTTTTTTTTAAGGCAACGTCTCATGTAGCCCAGGTTAGCCTTAAACTTACTATGTAGCCAAGATGACCCTGAAACTTCTGGTTCTACTGAGTCCTGGGATTACAGGCATGTACCATCATGCCCCATCTAGAGAGGGCTGGAGATGGAACCTGGGGCTCTGTGCCTGAAGGCAAGCAACCTGCCGTGGGCCACATCTCCAGCCCCTTTGAATTTGTTTTAATTCCTGGGATTCCCAGAGGGTTCCCTCCCTTCCTTCTCCTCTCCCTGTCCACCTTTTTCTTTTTCCCCATAAATTGGAAACCCTGTTGGGATGCAGACTCCTGGCCTCCTGTGTGGACATCTCTTTTGTAGGAGTGTGGGGTAGAGAAGTCTGCAGATGGAGAGAGACCAGATGATCATGGTGGGGGGAAGCTGAGGGCTAGCCTCGGAAATCCCGTGCCAGTAGAGACTCATTTTGAAATACTCCCCAAATGGAGCGATTTCTCTTGTTCCTTGCCAGGCTTTTTAGATATGCTTGTAAACACCAAGGCACACTACCAGCTACTTGTAAAGCTGAGTTCTTATGCTTATGCCAGCTTTAAAACAAAACAAAACAAAAACAAAGCCACTTTATTTATTTGTGTGTTTGTGTATGGGCACTGTCACACATGCCATGGTGTGGAGGTTGTCATACACGCATGGTGTGGAGGTTGTCACACATGCCATGGTGTGGATGTTGTCACAAATCCATGCTGTGGAGTTTGTCACACATCCATGCTGTGGAGTTTGTCACACATCCATGGTGTGGAGGTTGTCACACACCCATGCTGTGGAGGTTGTCACACACCCACGCTGTGGAGGTTGTCACACACCC